GATGTCGCTGAAAATTACACACTGTAGCTTTAAATAACTTTCTTAGTTAATGTAATATCACTAAAGCTGAGGGCCTCTGCAAATTGAAAACTGTGTTTTACGGTTGTGCTTAACCCTTTAAAGCCCCATCCAAGAATAAAACTAAAACAATAAAACAATGAAGTCCTTATTTGGCCTTTTAAAAAAATATGTAAAAAGAAAAAACAGAAATAAATTTTTGATATTAATAATTTATTACCAAGTCAAAAATATTTTTTGTGTATTCTTCTGCCCTCTGTTATCAGGTATATCTGGTTATGTACAATAGGATTTTGAGCAAAGTTTTTACCATTAAATTATGCAAAAGGTGTCAGACGCAAAACATTTCAGAAACTGTATGTATCAAATATGATACATTTGGCATTACAGGGTTAAGTGGCGCAGTTGTTAACATAAATGAGCCATGTATGGAGGCCTTAGTCCTTGACGCGGCTGACCTGGCTTCAAATCCGGCCTGTGGTCCTTTGCCGCATGTCTCTCCCCCATTTCTTTCAGCCTACTGTCTAAAGCAGAGGTCTTCAGCAGGGGGTCCGCGACCCCTAGGGGTTCCGCGAAGGTACTGCATAGGGGTTGCGAAAGTTTTGGTTGATTACTTTTTTTATATTCCCTCCTGCAATTTTTTGCACTAATTAAAATGTTTTTAAGTACACATTAACATGAATTCAACACACTGTAGTAAACAGATAAATGGAGACAGAAGATGTCTTTCAGTCATCAATGCACACATTCAGAGGCACACAGGAGCGCCTTTAAGCTGGGCACCGTTTCATTCACAACACCTGTCCCATCAACCGGGAATCAGAATCAGAAATACTTTAATAATCCCAGGGAGAAATTACTTTCGTTGCATTACTCCATCTGTAATAGAGTGACTATAGGACCAGTTTGATATAACACATTTTCAGGGATAATATATAACTTTGTCATCTATATAATTAGGGGGGGTCCCCGCTCCATCTCGCAATCAGTTTGGGGGTCCTTGGCCTCGAAAACGTTGAAGACCCCTGGTCTAAAGAAAATGAACCCCACCCCCCTCCTCAAGAAAGAAATGATGTTTAAATTGAAGATATATTTAAAATGTATTATAAATAAATAAATAAATCTTTGCTCTCTTACACATCTATGAGGACTTTTTACTAACTCGGTTACTTCTAAAAGACATTAATTACAATGTATTTGCTTAGAAGTATCAAATTAAAGGGGCCTCAATATTTTTGACTACATTTGCATATTTTTTTGTTTAAAAAAAATCTAATTACATCATGAACCAGTTTCATAAAATTCACTTAGAGGACCTACTTGGTGTTGGTCACAGGAATTCACACTAAATTAAGTCAAAGTTTGTATTTTTGTGAGTTGATTTTCAGGGCAGCTCATGTTGTATGCAAACCAACAAAAGAAGCCAGATCTGACTCGACTCTTCTCCTTTGTTTCCAGATGTCCTGTGTCCAAAGATGAAGGTTCAACCTGATCGCTTTAAGCCCAACAGCACCAGTTATGGTCTGGAGGAGGTTCCAGGTATGTGCAAACTGCTGCTTTCCCAACGGCAACATGGTCAACTGGCAGCACAAATCAACCTCAGACTAAATTCCAACATTTCCATACACTCCCACTTGGAGCTTCATTTATACAAAGAAAAAAAAAAAACTCTCTGCCATGATGCATAAATGCAGTGAGCTTTTGCTATTTTCTCTTTTTGCTATCTGATTGGAGACTAAATTGCTTTTATTCATGACTTGGAAGGTGCTTCCTCTCTGGCAAATTCATTTTCTGTCTAGTTTAATACTGGCATCATAAAAACTCCATGCATTTGTAAAACAAAATGTTGTGGATTTATGTTAACCCACTTTGCAGATCATATTTGCATTTTTTCAATGTATTTTATGCGCTCAGTGTTCTGTGCAAATCTTGGCTTTCATCCTTTTGTTCACCATGAATATTTACCAAAAGGCTTTTAATATCTGACAGCATCAAAATGGAACGAACTAAATTGATGGGAACAGGATATGTCGGCCATTTTTTCATCTGTAAGAAGATGCCTTACCATGGCAATATAATTTCATAGACAGCTGGCTGCATTACAAAGAAACAGGGAAAGGCTAACACTATAATTGTATAATATAATAGTAATTCACTGTGTGCTTGTTTATTTTTATGAATGTAATTGATAATAATTAAGCACAAATCAGTTACCAGGATGAAGGTTGACAGAGTTATATCGTAGTTTCAGAACTGCTAAATTTTCCATCACATTCTTCTTATTCACACCCAAAAGACATCTAACCCGTTATATCAGTAGCAGAGAACTTTAAAGCCCACCTGTTGCTGCACTCTGCTGGTCAGCTGGCTGAAAATAACACAGCAGATTTTTGCTCTGCCAGCAACCAAAACATATTTGATTATATCCGGCAGAAGAACAACAGTAGAAATCATTTTTACCCTTTGAAAAACTAGATATTGTTTTGCAATGAGCGTTTTTTAAAATTGAGATATTTCAGTGGCCTCTATTTACAGTAGATAGACAGGAAATGGGCAGAGAGAAAATGAGGAAGACAGACCTGTGAATGATCTGTTGCAGTAATCAATTCTACTAAAGATTAACGAATGAATTAGTTTTCCAAGATTCTGTTGAGTAATTAGAACAGAGTTAACCAATTAAAAATCAGCAGGTTCTGAATACAGAAAATTAACAACCAGTAAAGGTCCGGGGACATTTTTAATTATAATCGGTTACTTTAAACGGAATTTAACACTGAAATAAAATGAGTTTTTTATGCATCCATGTTATACACTGAGAAGGGGCATGAACTGATGTTGGGGTACAGTACAGTGTTGTCTCTGCACGCATAGAATGTTAAAAATGTGCGTGGAAAAAAGCTTATATTTAAATTCGTAGGGAAATGGCTGTTCCAATGGTTGCAATTCCGAATTCTCCCGAGTGGTGCACAACTTTACACAAGTGAATAAAGTGAATGTGTTTGGTTCTTTATAAAGAGGGCGGGATTGTTGTGGCGGAAGGTTCGCAAGCAAGTTTGATTGTAGTCGGTTTATCGGAAGCATCTTGCTAACCAGTTAGCAACTTAGTGCTAGTAGGTTACCAATGGAAAATTCCATTGGGACCAAGTTGCACTAAATTGGTGACTTAGAAACAACACTGTCAAGGAACGCTATGGACAGCGGAAACATGCAAGAGGAGCAGAGTTTTGTGTCGGAGGTCGTGGAAAGCGGTGACAAAGATGTTGTGGAAGAGGACGCTTGGTTTGGTGTAGAAGGCTTCCAGCCGTACATGTTTGAGCCCTTGCCTCGCAACGCTGCCAGTTCTGTTAGCTCTACGCCTGCTGAAGACACAGACGTCCATCCCCGCGAACACTGGGATGGAACTCAATGGGAAAGGAAATGATTCTTATTTCTTATTTCAACCGCTGCGTATATTAGCTGCGACATTTGGATCAAGATCCTATGACCGAAAAAAGTTTGATTGACAGATGACTGTTGATATATGATTGGCCGAATTTAGGTGTTTAAGCTGAAGTATAACTAACTGGCCTGAATAAGATAACGTAAAAAAAAACCTACAGATTTTAAGACAGGATTTTTTTAAAGTGGAATTTTTATTTTTATTTTGGGACAATATAGTCTGATAAAGAGTACATTTAGATCCATTTTTACGCCAGAATGATTTGACATTTAAATATGATTTCCCTTTGATTTTAATGTATATTTGAATAAAATCGCTTGTCTAAGTATGTATTATTATTATTACAGATGAGAATTAGATGTTTTGAGTTAGACTCCGTCACTTGTCAATGTTTTAATTGAAATTTTATTATTTTAAGTGCATATTTGGCTTTTATGTGTGTGTCTTTGTACGTATGTAATGATGTGATGTGATGTAATTTTGATGCCTATCTTAGCCAGGTCTCCCTTGCAAAAGAGATTTTTAATCTCAATGAATATTACATGGTTAAATAAAGGATAAATAAAAAAAATAAATAAATTATATTGTGCCCGCTTGTCAGAATTCCAATTAAAAAAATTATTGTTACGTAAATATGTTTTGTCAAACTTCATAAATGTAGCTGTTAAACTGCATTAAATAAGCATCAAAACTGGCCTGATTTCATTCATATGTTGCGCATTGATCAGCTGTTTATTCTGCTCTCAGAAGCAATCTCCACTCCACCAGTTAGCTTGTTGACAAAAATCCCTGTCGAGGTTTGAGCCTCAGTCTATTGAGGTAAGCAGAGAGAAAGTAGAGCCCTGATTGGATAACCATTGTGGTGTCTGGAGTTTATTATTTCAGAGCGCTTAACACCATTGAGCCTCCCCTGTTTCAGAGAGCAGCCGCCGCTGCTTTTAAGGCTGCCAACGCTTTTATTTTGAGGAAAAAAGCACTCAACAGCTGTGTGATTAAAAAAGCCTGAAGAGGGTTCCACCTTTTCATGTTTTATAGGTTGATCTAGTAACATTTTTGGCACTTTGTCTTAAAAAAAAAGCAAACATTGAAAGACAATATGTTAAGGAAAACTCTTTGTAACCACAGAATATATATCAATTAAAACTGCTGATGCTGAAGCTGATATCTGCTTATTATGTCCTTCATAATGGTGTCCAGATAAACGTCTGTATGACAAAACAAAATCGCTCAAGGAGGTCAGTAAAAGCATCCATCTGTCAAAGCAGGGACATCAGGTCAAAATTGATTTTTTTTCCCTTATTTCCAACTAATGTACATCAGACAAAAAAAAAAAAAAAATCAGTTGATGTTTTTACTTTGTACAGCAAGGGCCTCCTGTGTTTCAGAGGTCTTGAAAAGTGCTTATCCAGAGAGGTCGGATGTTGTTACAAGAGGGTCTTTTGGGGAATCGGAGTTCCTGTCTGTCTCCCGCCTACATTCATCAACATAAAAGAAAAAACAGATGAATGGGCACGACTTGTTTGCTATATCCAAGAACAAGATGTCGGAAAAAGATGCCAGAGCACTTGGAGATGTGTTTCTACTGAATGATCTATTAGCACATTTGTTAGGAAATGTATAAATGTGATTTCTTCTTCCCAGTCTAAACTAAGAAACTCATATATTTTGTAATCTATTCCTTTCAGATCTTCTTTAAAGCAGAAACAGACATACAGTATATACCTAATATAACCATCTTAATAGTTCAGGACTCTGCCAGACTTAAACAAGTTGTAGACAGACATCTAACTCTGTTAGCCAAGTGAACATATTGCTCCCAAAGGAGAGAATTCAAAGTCCCCTTTTCAGCTAACTTATCCCTTGTTTGGACGGCGGGTGGAAACAGGAGCAGCTGTAGGAAAACACCTAAACATAGCACACAAAGATTGCACAGAAAGACCTCTTGTTACACGACAGCATAGCTATAAACCTAAGACAATTATTATTTAAGCAACCGATCCATAAGAAGGCTAATGAAGCAACAGCTCCAGGTCAGATCACTCCATCAGCTCTAATCAGCCCATTTTGCCTCCATGTTTAATGTTTTGATCCCTTTATACTCTTCAAGTAAACCGCATTTAGTATCTTCTTTAACTCTACATGCATGTTTATTAAGGACAAGGAAAGTCAGTGAAAATAAATACAACCCTTTTATATTTAACATTTCAGTCACACACTTAGGAATCCATTTAAAAAGCGTGTTGTTTTTGCACACTTTAAGTTGAATTATTAAAGAGGCAATTGTAAAATTCTATTAATTAATCTAATTTTAAACCCTACAATTTAAAAATTTATTTTCAGATCCCTTTTCTAAATTGGTATTTAAATACAACAATCAGTACATCTGATTTTAGATACCTTTTTTTTATCAAACATATAAAAAGGAAATTCCTTTTTCCACTTTTTTCTCTCTGTATTTTTAAATCACTTTTTCAAGTCGCCTACTCTTCATACTTTACCATCTCTATTTAATATTTCAGTTATCCAACAACAGTTAAACTAAAGACTATGACAGTATTAAGGGTTCAGTTTAATTCCATTAATGGTTTAGTAACGGCTTATTAACGGTTTATTAACAGCTTATTAACAGTTTATAAACAGCTTATTAATGGTTTATTAACCGCTTATTAACAAGGCATGAGACAATTGGAAAAGCTAAAGTATTAAGATAATGGCTATGATGGATCTGTTAATAAGCTGTAAATTAGCTGTTTTCATATCATGTAAATATATCTTTTGTTTACTTGGCTCATAATTGCGAATATGGATTATTTTATTTGTGGTTTTGAAACAAATTAACAAACAAGCTTCAACCTAAAATAAATTCAAACCTTAGTCCTAAACCTAACAGCAACAGAACAAAGAAGTAAGGACCCATGAAATGTCTTCAGTTTGATGAAGAAACTGGAAAACTGGTCCTCACTCATATGCCAAAACATGGCCACACACACATCATTTAAAATACTTTTCTTGGTAGAGTGAAAGTTAAACTTTGTCTGAAATGATTTGGATAAGTGGAAGTCATGTTTGGTTCAACTGCTGATGTTTTGAGTTCATAACC